CCACACGGGTCACAACATATTCAGAAAGTTTCATGCAATTGGGATGTGCCTGATCTGAGATCAGCTTTTGAGGGGGTCTAAATGAATGCGTTTTTGGAAATCTACATTGTTCTTCGTTAATTTTGTTTTTTTATAATTTTTTTAATCAATTAATTTACCTACACTCTTATAATTGACATACGGAATCCAAATTTTGTTAAATGTGGAACATAATATTCTAACATTTGTTGCCATACAGAACCATTGAGCAAGTTATGAGAAAATGGCCAATTTGCACTTCATGTCTCAAGAACAAAATGAAAATGAATAAGATTAGGCACACAACGTAATATATAAGAAATTGAACGTATATCACATATAGCAAGAATTGTTAAATTAAAAGACGTTAATTGTGGTAATTTAGGAAGATCATTTTCATTAATAGATGGTGTTTCAATTGAAAAACTAAGACAAAAAATATTTTGTTTTATTTGTTTCTACTTTTCAATTGAATAACTTACTTGATATGATCATTTTCAAGTGAATGTGTATATTCTACTATTATAGTTAAATATCGAATTGTACAACAAAGTCGAAGAACTGGTAAAATTGAATAAACAGATACGATTGATGGTGAATCAGAAATTAATAATTTAAGTGGTATAAGATTTGAAGATATTGAACTATAATTTGATATATCGAAATAATTATAAGGATATTGTAAGACAATTGAATGAAGAAAATATGACTTGTGCATTAATAGAATTCGAGTTAAATAATATTTATAAATTTGATTTAGATTTTTATTATTTGGTTGATGAATATTAAATGGAACAAGTCTATTTAGAGTTTTTAATTGTTTAATAACAATTCCAAGTTTTGTTGAAGGATTAACTGAAAGAAATATACATGATTGAAGATTAATGAAATAATGTCGATTAAGCAATAAATTAATAATCACGAATTGGATCATAAGTTTTTATTGAAATAACTTGATGAGAATGAAATTTAAGATATGAAGAAAGAGAATCAATCTGACGATGACAATAATCATTGGATAGAATAACACGAAGTGGAATTATTTGTAAAATAGATGAAATTTTGTATATTTAATGAATTAAAAGCTGTAAAAATATCTAATGCATGTAAAT